TAGAGGTAGCCTTCCTGAAGCCATGCTGGCAGTTCATTAACACTGAATTTCTCTCTAAAAACTTGTCATTTGATTGGCGATGATATGCTCGATTAGAATAGTGCATTGAGGCGGTGGCAAGTCACGTTGAAACCAAGAAGTTGGAGGCTCCGGTTGCCAGAGGCGAGGATTACGTGCGTTCCCGCAGCTGTTGCTGACAGCTGCCGACGCGGAAGCGTGACATGGTGGGGGTTCAGGTTGCTAGGGACGCGCGAGCCCGCGGCCGTTGCTGTGGGAGAGGGCAGTGGACGGATCCCGACAGACGGCTGATATAGCCCGACTAATAAATGCAATCGCATTTATTACTTGCGCGCTGTAAGCTACTGAAGGCGCTAACTAATAGCGTCACTTGAGCCATAAACAGCTTCGTCATTGAATTGACCCGCTAAAGAGAAGTGCTCCATTCTACTTATGACATAGAGATGCAAATAACAACGCACCAGAACTTACTGACACTGGTTCTGCCTGAAATTCAGCGTGAAGTCTGTGCCGTACATGGTATACTCATCAAGCATTGGTCTAGGTGGACCACGCGATCTTCCACGTACACGCATCCTGCGCCGGATATGGCAGCAGACAGGCTGTATTGAAGCGCTATGGAGACTGCCTGAAAAGAAAGTTAAGAGAAATTGGTTGCCAATAGTTCAACGTTTCGAGTTGATGTACTTGAGTAAGGCATGTGCGTGCACACGGGGGACGGGGTAAAACCAATGTGCCCCCCCCCCTGCACTCATCTGAGGAGTGCGCCCACTTTTCCCGCATACCACCGGAGAATGGAATACCCTTCCTTCAATATCGCCTTACAGAGAAATTGATCAATTCAAAGCTGCTATCGAAGACCGACTCTCAAGTCATGAAATCTAACCCAATCCGCCATTTTTTTGCCCACCCCACCCTCATAAAATATTCCAGGTGGAACCTTTGAGGTTTCATGAATAAATTTATGAATAAATTAATAATGTGCAGTGCTATGGAAATGCAAGTTTATTCACGATAACTGTCGTGGAGTGCATCTCATCTTGCATTCGTAGAATTCTATACTTCACACTCCTAGCACGGGGAAGCTGCAGATAAAAGTGTTGAGCAGCACGTCAACACTTCCGTTTCATTTTCGCATCCGCTTCGAAGATTAGGTTTCCTTTCTGTCGTACTCTACCAAAGGGAGGCATGGTGCGGGATGCATTGCGACGAAATCTCACCTCCTCTAGTGGTGGAACCCACGCGCGTTTACGGTGTGAGGGTGTGCTGTATGGATAACGTGCCTGTTATTTGGGCAACGAATAACGGCGCAAACGAGACAAGGAGCTAGCGGGGAAGATGCATAGAAAACAACACGTTGTGATGACCGACAACAGCGTTGTTTTTTACGACAGGAAGGCATTTAACAACCATGTACGCTTTGTGAGCAATATGAATGCGATCAGAGAAAAAAAAAGGCAGCATATCCACGGAGTGAATGATGAGAGTGGGGCGAAGCATTCGTCCGTCCATGCGTCCGTCTGTGTGACCGTCCATGTGTCTGTTCGTGCGCCCGTCCCCGCGTTCGTTCATGCATCCGCCCCTGCGTCCGTTCATGCGTCCATCCATGCATCTGTCTGTGTGTCCGTTCGTCCATCTATTCAACACTCCAAGTCCCACCATCTCGCATCTTTTATCATATATTCCCCATATAGAAGCACCGCCATTCAGTGGACATTCCAAGGACTAAACGAGAGGTGGCACACGCACACTTTCTTACGGCTTGCGCTTCGGGTCTACTTCCCCCTTCAACCACCCTGAGTTCATGGTATATAGTAGTTCACTGTATTCATGGCACTGCGGCCCAACGCTCACTAAACCTTTCTAAAACTAAGGAGCTTACACCCAGCGAGTATAATGTAGCAACCCTTTCTTGTCCGATAGTGCTCAATGTACATGCCAATGGCTGCTAATGGGGATCGCAGCATGCGCGTTGACTAAAAGCCGAATGCTCCTGTCTCTCATTCCCCATTAGCAGCCAGTGGCATGTACATTGAGCACTATTTTTTATTGTTAAACAACGCACAGAAGAAATCTCACATCAGCACCACCTTGGAGGTCAAACGTTATACCTAGTTCGGGTATGTGCCACTGGTGGTTATGTACTACAAGGGACGCACAAGCCACGCCATAAGGAGCTTCGCCCCTAAAAAAGGAGGAGAGGGCTTAGGATAAGAGAAGCTCCCACACACGATGGTGCGTGCCGTGCCAACAGATTATGGGCGCTCGGTAAAATGTGGGCAGACCTCAGTGGCAGTTCTGTGAAAGCAGCAGAAACCTGCGATAGCCCCGCTCCTGGAGGTAATGCAAAACCACCGTACGTATAGAAAGCTTTCAAGGAATGTGGATGTGTCAGTACAATCTACTGAGAAGTAAGTTGAGAAAATGAAGACGACGATGACTTGAGCCCTCGTGTAGCCTTAAAGGGACCCCTAAAAATTTCTCAGTGTAGCCATGGAATGAATTTGTGAAAACGGCTTATTGCCGCACGAATTCACCACCACAATTTTTTTACAATACGTTCAATAAAAGTCGAGTTACAAATATTTTCCCATGATTCTATCGAATTCTTTCTTTCGTCCCGACGAAAGGGCTAGAAGCTAAGCCACAGAGTAACATATAAAAAGTTAGGACGACACTCCTATAAAGCCATGTGGCTTATTTGAATTCGCAGTACCCCAAATGATCGTTAGGAACCTTTGCTGCCTCAGAGATAGGAGACCACAGAAAAGGGTGTTTTTAAGGCTATTTTCTGGCAGTTAAGAATATTACACAACCTCTGAGACCACTTCTATGTGCATGCCTGTCTCTGAGGCCACACTTAAATTTTTTTAATGCGTCATATAGTAGCTATGTGTAAGCTGCATCATCAGAGCGGCAAGCATACAATGCCACTGTGTGTCTATGCCCCCATTTTAAATAAAACATGAGAATCGTTGCAGGAGCGACACTTATTTTCAAGTGATATTCTTGGTGATGGCACGCTCACTTTGGTAATGTTTGATGAACGTGGGTACGAATAGATAGGTTCATTGCAATGCAAAACGTGGAAATACAGGTGACATACAATGAGTATGAATAAGACGTAAGAATAAAACTATAGGCAACATTTTAAGAAGACCCGCAGAGCAGTAAAACTGCAGTAAATGCACATAACCACACACACAGTGGACAACGCAACACGGCAGTAGTTGCCGCAGCACTTGACACCAGCATGGGCCGAACAAAGGAAAATGTTGGCTTCGTTTTCTTTCGCGCCCACGCACAAATATTTTTGTACGCACGCTATTTTGCGAAAAACAGTCACAAGCAGTTGCCCCAGCAAAACCGTAGCAATTTTAGGTGCCACGCAAGCTGTTAACGAGGCAGGAGTGCTTACTCAAAGATTACACCATAGCTTTAGCTAACATTTCTTTAGAGTCGCCACTTCTCTCGTATTGCGCTCCTCAGAGCTTTCAGCAATTTGCGAACTCCCCAGCCAACGCTACTAAGAATACCTGCACTCTTCACAAAATCTCACTCATGATTACGCAGTGAATTTGCATACAAAAAGAAAAACTAACAACGCGAGCGGCGACTGACTTTCCTGAACCAAGAAACGATTTTCTCGCAAACGTACAGCGCAGCATCCCAAAAAGCTTTTTTTTTTCTTTCGTGAGAAGCAATTCACGAAAATGCACGAAGTGAAGAGCACAAAAAAAGCTCTCGGCACCAAACAGCACAATGCGACAAATGTTAGTTTAACCCCCGTATTCTAAACACTCCACCTTCATCACTTGAGAAAGCCGATGGGAGCGCCATCTTTAGGCAGGGCAAGTCACTGCATATCAGTGATAATTTGCTGCTATTCTTGAGTAGCGCAGCGTCATTTTCAGCCGAGCAGCGGCGCAGGGCTTAACTCTTTCAAGTGATGGGTGAAGGTCGAGTCGAGGAATGTTTGTGAATACGGGGGTAAGTCTCCAATGACGAATGCAATACGCACTTTACAAAGTAATGATGGCGTTCACACCTAGCAGCAGCCAAGCTGAGAGGCAGACAAAACAACCGAAGACCACGACGCACGCCGAGAACGTTATCGCACATTCTTTATCGCGTCTCCTGCTGCTGTCCGTACTTCGTCATTGTCTGAAATGCTCATGAACACGGAGCGTGACAAGGTTGTCGTTGCGTCGACGCCACGTGCATTTCTCTCGCATCCGATGCATGTCAAATCCTACCCGACCATGTGCACGCGAGGCGATAACGACGGCTACAAAAGCCACAATCTCAGTTGCAAAACACGTAGGTGTATAATGCACTAGAAACTGTACTGTACGCGTGTTTCTTTGAAGCAGCGAGTGATGTCTTGCCATCTTACGGCTGGCGTGAAGCTGCGTAGCACCGCCACTTTGGCCAGAGTGGCCATCCTCCGTGCTTAGGTATACGTAAAATATGAGAATGCGCTCTTTGATTTTACGTATGGCTAAGCATGGAGGGATGACACGGGGCAAGAAAATACGTCACGCGCTCCTCGTGCCCTTGAGCCCTCCCCCACTTTTTTTTCGTCCAATACGCGGCTATTCAGTGCGATCTCATGCACGTGTTTGTACAATGGCCTCCCGTAGGGGCCCCTGTAATTACCGAGCGTGCTATGCGCAAATCAACCAATGGCTCATACAATGGCTGTGACGAGTAATTTTTGAGCTTGTGTCGTCATTTGCCGAGAGAGCACGCAATTTATAGCTGACTTTGAGAATTTATTGTGAATTCAAGGTAGCGTGCGGCGCTATAATATTTAGCACGCGTTTTCTCGGCAGCCTCGACTACCGATCGGCAGCGTTTTCTGACTATGCTAAAAATGTTGCAGGGCCCCTTTGGGCGAAGGAATAAGGCACTGTTTGACTGTTTCACTCTGTATTCCAAGACACTGAACCCGCCAACGTAACTATCCAGTCAATGCTTACCTTGTGCATCTCGAAGCGGCTTTCGTAGCACGTGCCCCGAGCGAGGATGTCAATCCCAGCATAGACGTCACCCCTGCGTTTGCCCGCCGACTCTGCGGATTCACTGAACAAGTCCTCGTCCCATTTGAAATTCAAGACGATTCCGTAGCACGAATCGAAGAAGCGCAAGTTTTTGTCATTGAGTTTAGATTGCGGCTCGACTTTACCGCCGGGTCGAGCACTCGCCTGCCAGACGACGGTGGAACCGGCACAGCGTGGTGCATTTCTTCGTTCAAGGCAGCAAGGAGGCTGATGACGAAGTGGACTGCGCTGTAATCCTGCAGATGAAGGGCAATAAATCAATTGTGATAACAGGAAAGAAATTGGAGGATTCTTGAGCTTCGTCTTCAAGAGGAGATCACGATGCCGTAATGTGGCTTCCTGTGCATCGCCTTCTGAACTGACGACCTGCTTCGTTTCTCAGTGCACGCCTCAACCGTGTGTCAAAAAAAAAAAAAATGAGCGACTGTGCGCGTAACATCAGCCGTGTCAAGCTATCATTGAATGCATATTGCAAGCACCCACGATGTGCCCTGTAAAGTACAACTGTATAAATTCTTGCTGCGGTGGCTGCTTTCCGATGGAGGCGGAAATAATGTAGGCCCGTGTGCTCAGATTTGGGTGCATGGTAAAGAACCCCAGGTTATCGAAATTTCCGGAGCCCTCCACTACAGCATCTCTCATAATCATATGGTGGTTTTCGGACGTTAAACTCTACAAATCAATCAAATAAATCAATAAAGTACGACTGTATACAAACGCAGACAGCGTGAGCGACACTCTCAGACCGTTAAGTCGGGCATTATTGTTGTATTACTTGTCTTTTAACGGGAACAATTTTCGAAGTACACGAATGCTTTGTTTACAGGCCCCCTTTAGTTGTAGGGGTGACGTTGTTCTGACTCTAATACTTGTGACTGAGAAGGGCTTCAAGGCTGGGTAAAGAACAATTACTGCGGAAGTATGTTCCAGCACTGTTTATTCAAAGGTACATTATGTCTTCTGGACAAAACGTACTAGGGGGAATCTCCACATGCGACAATACATTTGCCATGCTGGTTATGCCTAATAATTCATATATTTAGACGTTCTTATCTCAATGGTACAGTTCGTGAATCTTTCGAATAACCACATTACTCTAACAGGACAAGACAGCGTAGGAATATATGCATGCGTATATTATATATGAATGCTTTTCTCGGAATCATGAATTTTCGACATTTCAAGGTGACTTATTTCAGAACAATGTAGTTTCGAAAATTCTACTTGCTGTCTGTCGTTCGCATGAAGAAAAACCATAAGTCGGTCAAACAATGAGGAGCTTACTCACACTCACTCAAAAAGTATATATTGCACTTTTGACTGACTTGAATCAGACTCGCAAAAAATTTTCCGGAGGCTGACACAGCGGGACTCACACTTAAGAAAACGTTTTCGACAGGACTCACTCACACTCATAGCTCGTTTTTGGGCTGAGTGAGTCCGAGTGAGTGAGTTCGCCGACCAATGCATCGCAGTAGCACTATACGCTTTCCTGAAATCATTTCTTGCAGATCTCCGAGTCTGCAGTTTAGTACATAGCTAATGCGAACCTGAACAGAGCTAATTCTGTATATCGAGTAAGACGAACGAGGACGTATATATCGCTAAAAATTAATTCTAAAGTGGGAGTCTTGAAGCACTTCCGTGTCTGTTTTGTGAGCTTCTCCCAAAGTTGGAAATTTCGGGGGAGGTTCAAACCTTCCGGCCTACCTCCTCTCTTCCCTACCCCAGATAGGCTGCGCCAGTGAAGTCGATGTAACAGTCGAAACCACACGTAATTGTTTAACTGTAGATTGCTTCTATCAAACTCGAGGCACCGGCTGTGACTGCAGGAGAAGCTGTCAAGTCGTACCAAGCGAAAGTAAGCCTGCCCATCTCCCGTATTTATGTAAACTAAGTTAATTTTGGTACAACGAAACTACCTGAACTAAAAACTCAGCGTTACTGCTTGTATTGAAATATCGAAGAAAGCAGTGCACTCACCATACCTGTTACAATGCGGACCAGCCAGCCGTCAAACCACTGACGAGCGGCGACGCGGGCCAACTGAGACGCGACTTTGGCGACTAGATGAGCTCCTTTGATCTTGTTGATGGCTTTTGCGCCTTCTTCCGATTTCAGGGTGACGGTGCCTGAAGACCACAAAGCGAATGCCGTCCCATCAATTGGTGACAGTATAGATGACGACAGGTGACCACCCCATGACATGCGCAGATGTCACCCGGTTGTGACGGTAGAGACAGTAGACGCAATCGGAAAAGATAAAATGCTGCATTGGCAGAACTTCAATTTTACGCAGTCAAAGAAGCAACACTCAAAATGCAGCAAAAGATGGCGGTGGGCAGGATGTACCGCTGGCGACATTTAGGTTTATTTTGCACAGGTTCTTTTACAGCCTACTTTTTATAACTGTGTAGGCGTAATAGAATTCCAGTACTATATTCCGCTGAAAAACTACGAATGATCAGGTTACTCTGTCATGGTCCCTTTAAGTGTGGACTGCACTGTATACACGTTCGGCTTACCAAAGACATTTACGCCGTGCTTGTGGGCAGCGGGGATCCAGCCTGCTGGGGTATGGTCACCATGTTTTCCGTGTAGTAGACAAAGTGTCGATGGCTTGCCATAACGGGAAATTGTAGCTTTTCGCATAGTTACTCCCGTATACGAATCTGCGAGGAGCCGGGCAGAAACATGGGTGTGAGTGATTGAGACTGTAGAATAAAGAAAGAGCGAGTGGAACACTGAAGTCAATTAGATCGTTTAACTCAAAATAAGTGAATATAAGCAATCACTGAACCTTCGTTTGTGTCTTACAAAACAGTTGTGTGAACCAACTATGTACGAACATGTTTTAGGACGCTTCTTTAATGTCCTTAGAACACTCAGAAAAAGCGTGGTTAATTTATACCTTCGTGCAGATGACTGAGGCGCAACAAACATTTCGCGAAACAGGAGGAGCCGAAGAGAGTAAGACAAGCGTAAGATTGGCGCTGTTCTTACTTCTCTTCTGCTCCTCCTGTTTCACGAAATGCTTGTCGCGCCTCAGTCATCTGTACCAAGTATTCACCAACTTGCTCAAAACAAGCCCTTTTGTAATTCACAACTCGCTTACAAGAAATCATTGAGCAGGGTGATGGAGCGACACCTGGGTTCCAGGATTTTTGGCCTTTTCAAGGTTCATCTTCGTCCAAGCTTCTGGATCGGCAGAAATCAACTGCTTAGAATAAATGTACGCGTTAAAACATCAGCTTTTCGATGCACTGCTACATCTTTCATACTCGTATCGTGTAGTGGGGCCGTTACGCCCCAACATTTATTTTATAGGTTCCCTCATCTACGTGTTTCCTATTGCGGCAACAGCAGTCGCTCTCATCTTTGCATTACTTCAACGCGATCCCCTCCCCCCTCCCCGCAACTCTGCCAACTGCATGAAACAGTCTAGAAGGCGTTGGTTAATTTATGCAACTTGAAACCGTGACACCAGTTCTCGTCATTCTGTTACCCAAGTAATTCTTGTCCGCAATTCACATTGACACGTAGTCAATTTTCAAGGAGCGTTCTACATAGGCCGAGGACATCCTCCGCTCGGCACTCCGCTACGTCCCTTCTTCGGCGCGCGCCCGCTTCTGCGTCCTTTCGGTGTGGCATCCTAGGCACCCACGTCGATCCAACAACTAAGCACATCAAAAATCGAAATTTCGGCTACTCTACTGCAAATATTACGTTTCACTGGGCGATTGGGCTGGCAACTTTATCGAAATTTGCCAGCGAGTTCAAATTTTTTACCAAAAACACAACGAACAGTAATGCCAATGTGGAATGAACTGACACGTACGCCGGGCCCTTGACTTCACGGAAATGAGCATATGTGATTGTATGTACCATCAATACAAATTCATTCTGGTTGATTGATTAAATGAAAGATTGATTGTATAATTGATTGATTGATTGATTGATTGTCCTTTTTATTGTGGCGCAACCCACTATGAGGATCTGCCGTGAAACGAGAAGGTGCTTGTAACATAATAGCGGTGCCTTGATAGCATTTGTTCTTGGTTTCAACCGACGGAAAACAACATGTAGCAGCTGTAATGAGGATACCCTCCCACGCCATTAGTAAAACCTTTGAGGGTCTCATAAGCAAATAGATTGTGATGTGAACGCATTTGCAAAGCTGTTCCAGGAATACACAGTCAACTCACTTGTCTTCTAGATAGGCGGCGGTATTGTGAAGGAGCATGTTCTTGGGCCGTCCCTGCTCACCCCGCCCTACGTCTCTCGACGGCTCCACGACGAAGAGGAGCAGTCGGTCGAAGGAGAGGAGCTCTTCCAGGGTCTTCAACGGCTCGATCACCGACATACTTGACCGTCCGAATTAACGAGGATGTACACGTGCTGCCATCAGCCGTCTTGCTTGTTTCTATTCTTTGACTCGTACCCACTACGGTGGATTGGCCAATAGACCGGCGGTTATTCTAATGGGGAACAAGGAATTTTGAGCTTTGATGTTGAAAACAATCATTCAGTCATCTATGGGGAATATAAAAGTGGATAATCAAAATGACCTAAGAATAAAGTAGGTAAGTAACTATTATTTGAAATGAATAAATGCATGGTCATTCAAAAGAACTGGAATTTCATTATAAAAATAAAAAAGTTCTAACAACCAAACCTACTTGTGTCTCTGATGTCTGAGAAATACACTGCTATACAGGCACTTCTATTGCTGTGGCCCAGAGAAGAAGCCCCAGGGGAAAGGGTCTTTTCAGAAGTAGGAGCAATGTTTAAATTTCTGAATATCATTTCTAATCTTTCTTCCCATGGCTTGTGAAACACCAGCAAGTAAGTAAAGCGATTGATGTTTTCTGGCTCATGCCATTAAAAGCAAAGCGGAGATGGTACCTGAGCAGACCTAAATAAAGAAACAATTAGGAGGCGGAATCTGGCATAAAAATTTTCTGATGCACACTATGCGCATTACCACAAATGATGATGAGAAGGAGGTAAAAACCTATGAAGCTTAGAAGTAGTAGTAAACAACTTTATTACATGAAGCTTAGAAACACTGGAAATATACGCTAAAAATAAACACCCAATAGATAAAAATTCTAAATGAGCCAGTGGCCACGCTATTACTTGAAATTTATGATGGAGTTTATAGCGTGAGTTAACAACAGATATGAAAAAACAAAAATATCAAGAAACAAAAATTGACTAGCATGGTACTCTTTTTGTTTATTTGTGTAATAGAAGGCAGTTGAACAGACATCCCTGTGACTGTAACATAGTGTAGTTCCACCAAATGATAAATCTACTGCAACAGTTATTGCAAATCCTAATTTGAATTAGCTAGAGCTAGAAGGTACCTTTTTTTTCTTGAATTAGAATATCGGTGAAAAAATAAACAGATCGGCATATTATTTTAATTATGTTGCGAAGTATGCACAACGACGACGCCTTCCCTGCAGCTTCATGTAACTGCAACAATTCCAGAGACACTACAAACAGCCAGGCTGGCGCGGAATGCGCAGCACAATTGCAGCAAAAGCTGGAACAGCGGCCTTTCAGAGCCCTTTTTAAACGCTCTTTGGGTAACTGCTAGATGGACATTTTCAGGGTACCTACTACTCTATAAATCATGGACATTTTTGTGTGGTGAGAGGCATTTACTAGGCCATCCTTTGTCGTATCTTCCGAGAAGAAAAGGATCCGCTATCATACTTGCGAAGAATTTTGTGCACTTTTTAGCGCTGTGGCTGGTGAGATGAAGAACTTATACCTGAAGCTTTAGATGGTTTGGAGCATTCGCTTACCAACTCGCTGCGCAATTCGCATTGTGTGACGCCTGGTTGTTGCTTTACTGTTCTAAAACGCTTTTATTACTAATAATAACGCATATCCTTTCCGATATCAAGCCTGTCTACAGCGGTATACCAACTCCTTCGCGAAGTGGGGGCAATTTACGTCACTCGATATATATATATTATATATATATATATATATATATATATATGATAGATATATATATATAATATATAGATATATATATATATATATTATATATATATATACATTATATATATATCTATATATATAGAATATATATATATATATATATATATATATATATTATAGATATATATATATCATAAGAGAGACCTTCATCGACGTGCGAGAACTTAGATATGACTTCGCAGACACAGAGGTTACACGACGTGGGTCCATAATACCACGAGGTTCAACCACACTTTAACAGGCGCCCTTAGCCAAATTTCTGCCTCCAATATGCGAAGCTGATTTTGCTATCACGCCTGTTTCTCTGATTATGCTGTGGCGGTTAACATCTACAGATACGACAATGGTTTGTTTAATAAATTTATCATCGTGGATGTTAGTCGTCGGGATGGAGATGTACCAAGCTTCAACGAGGATACATCCACGTTGAACGGGGCCATGGCTGCCAAACACCAATACACACATACAGCGAACCCTTCTTTATCAATGTGCAGTAAACGTTTAATTACCCTTGTAAAGGCTCGTTTGGCTTTCTTGTTGTATGTAGATTCCATGACAAGGAGAGCAACCTAGATTTTTCTACGAATGATTGCATTGCTGTTATATATTTTTTTCATAATAGGCATTACGTTTCTTGCACATATTCAGGCTTGTGTGTATTAATTTTGCCTTTTTTGCTTATAGTCTGAACATTGTTTCTAGAACATGCAATTATTATTATGCTATTGTTATATTACTAGTCACTTATCATCAACTTCTCAACATTTTTCTTTAAAAAGGTATAATTTGTGGTGTTAGTGGCGTTCTACATTGTTTACATCATTTTGTTCTCAACCCTTTTCTTAAAAATGTATACTTTGTGGCGTACTACATTGTTTGCACAATGTATTTATTAACATTCCAAGGGGCCCCAGGCACCTGCATAAATACGCCAATACAAACAGTCGAAACACAATTTCTTTGAAAGAACACAAAGGGGTGTGTATTACAACGTTAACATGCCTCGTTGCTTTCTTTCGAAGTGGTTTTAGCTGTATATAGTTAGGGTAAACAGTCTTTGGTCATGAACCAGCACCAGCTTGTTACGCGAGGCACAAATGACTCGAGCATAATACATCACGTAATGACCACTATGCACAACCACCTAAAATAAGATAATATTTTCGATACCTCATGTTGTTTTTCCATTGGTAATTCGGCAATTGAAACTTTTTGTGCACCACAAATTCGCCTGCGTGTTACCTGACGTCAAGAAGCCAGAGAGCATCTCCTTCTGGATGTAATTCAGGTTGGCTAGTTGCCAATCACATAAGCAGCGCCTACCTATAGCAGCTGGCGAGATCAAATATAAGGATAATAAAATATTTCTACTTGCTGCATAACGATTTTTTTGTAGTTTGTGCGCGCATACAGTTCTGTGAGTCCATACTTGCTGGCAGAAAGAGGAATAGAGATGAAATAAGCAGCGCTGCAAATGTGTGCTTCTTTGCTGTCCGAGATGTATTTTTAGCTGTAAAAGACAATTCAAGTTGACAGAAAACCACTATTGCCCGATTCCTAACTAAGCATTCATAGTGATAAAAACTGCGGGCTTTTACCGTCTCTCTGGTCCGGTGGGGTCACGTTATGGTGCAAGCTTAGAAGCTGAGCTTCCTACTTAGCTCGAGTCCACTGCTTTATTCGTGGCGACTGTACAAGCTGCTGCGCTAAGGCTCCAAGTTACCATATGCAGGACTTATTAGGTTCATCAGAGACTAAAGCGGGAACATTTTGGGCATTTCAGTACGGAAAATTAAATATCAAAAACGATTCGCACACTCATCGGCTCACAACAGCTTCGACAGAGCAGCGGTGATGGTATATCCTTTTCGAAGAAAATTATTTTCCAGAAACAGCAAATTCTCTGACCGGTCTTTAAAACGTTTCCTCGTTCCCATCCGTAACTGCATCAACAAGTCACAGCACAATAAAAGCATGAACAAGTGATGTAATATTATAGGGCCCCAGTTGAGTGCTTGCCTCATCTGCAATACAATACAGTACAAGACGCGAAAGCGTCGCATAGGCAATCGGCACCGCAATGAGCCGTCAGGAAAATCATCACAGCGGTAATGTTGGCGAAATTTTACTATGTTGTAGCATAGCCTCGTAACATTTTCATTCTCCCGTAAGAAAATAATTGAGTGATTACTGTTGTGATGAAAAACTTCTCCTTACTTGTTGGTTTCTCTAGCTTGCATGCAGCCAAGAGTGACCACTGTCAAAAGTGGTGGGGTGGCGCTTTCCTTGCCCGCCGGCTGATACGCCTATGCCTGCCTAAGGCCCGTTCGCAACGGAGTTTTGAGTTCCGGCGTTGCTCTGTGGTAGAATATCGGCAAATATTGTTTCCTGTCAGGCTATTTGGTGCATAGCTGAACTTTAATTGATGAGGCAAATGTTACACAGGAGCGGAGAGGACACGTAATAGACGGAAAAGCGCCCACTCGCAACTAAATTTTATTCTTCAGAAATCTTCTTAAGGATCCTCTACATACGTACTACACCACATGAAGCAAAATAACAATCTCTGAAAACACCGCTCGATTGTAACCTATCATAATAAAAAAAAACTATTGTCATTTTGATAAACATTAACAGAAAGAACAATTACTCAAAGGTCGCCAGCTTTCTGTATGTACATAGCCTCGGTCAACTCCCGTGCCACCTTGTCTTTGCTCTTCCGCAAAAGGCATGTGTTGCCCAACAGTGGTTCACTCGGGTGCAAGCACTCTGATGGGGTAAATGAAATTTGGTCTCTTTCCTAATAGACAGGGCATGCTCTGCTAGCCGGTCATTACTACGCCGGCCAGTCGGGTCGATGTACATTCGACCGGAGCTCAACGTAATCTTGTAAACAACAAATGAGCATATCATAAAACGTGTTTTCTTCGTGTGTTTTTTCCCAAACACAGGACTCTTAGCAGACGACCTCGAGCCCAAATACGAGAGAGCTTTTTCGTGCCGGATAGACTACGGATATGTTATACCTAGAAACCACATTCTTCGAAGAATGAGAAACTTCGTGAAGTTAGAGAATAACAACGGCACGCTTATTTTTATCATTCACTGGAGGAGTGCCACTGACATCACACCAAAATTTCTTCAATAAACCTCACACAAAGATCACAAAAGCAATGTAGAAAAACCTGCGAAAAGAAGTCTAGAAACCTGCAGTTCAAAGCTTTTTTTTAACAGTATGTAAGCGGGGCCTATTTAGAGCCATCTGCTAACTAGCAATTGCTATCGCCCTCTTCACATTACTTTCAATGAGTGAATGAAAAGGCGAAAATTCTTTCTGTACATGAG